GCTTGTTAGGGAGGCTGTGGGTCTATTCTTTGTTCTTCAAAATATATCTTGTGGTTTTGGTAAGCATGTTTGTTTACAGCTTTGTGTTATTGTATACTGTTAGTCGTTATTTTTTCTTCGGCATTAACTCTATGAGTCCCAAGGAACGCATCATACGTTCATAGGTTACTGCCTAGGAGCCAATGAACGCATGATGCGCTGATTTTACGTCTCTCTTGACTACCCCTTGGGCCTGTGATGCTTAATCCTCTGGGACTCAAAGAGTTAAGAATGCATTTTCATATTTCCTACATTTCTGGCGTGGATAGGATTAATGTTTTCTTCAAAATCAGAATATGCCTGCGAGGCAAGGAACCAACAGTCAGGGCCATGTCTTGCCATGATATAGAGAAGCGGCCGCATCAGGCAACACCGTAAGGGGGATGGCATAAACAGGGAAGTCAAAGTACAGTTTGAACATTCAAGGTGGTGGTATTTTCAGGACTTGCATCACATTGAGAAAAGCTACAGCACAGCCCTCTGCCAACGTGTGCAACCAAAGAAACCAGATTTGTAATACATTTATGTATGCAACACTCAGGAATGAGGGCCAGAGTCCAGAAGTCAATGACCAATGACTTTGGGTGAGAATTAACATGCAAAAAAAAAAATAAGGATGTTTAAAAAAATAATAAGTTGCTTACAGCAATCTCATTATGTGTCATAGTTGTGTGTTTATGCAATTCTGTAACAACTATATTTTTATTCTGAATAAATAATTTATAAAGCTTTTTAAAGAAATAAATGTGCCTACTCATCATATCTATTGTTGTTTGACCTAAGCTTAGTTATTGTAAATTTCTGTAACCTAGGGTGCTGTTTTTTTCTTCTTCATTGGTTAGATCAAATTCTGCTCTCCCTATTTCTCAGTTGTTTCAGTTTTATTATAGATGTTGCTAATAATGACAATGCGAGCCATCGTGGTGTAGCAGCTAGATGCTCGCCTGCAGAACTGCAGATCGTTGGTTAGGTTCTGATGGAGCCAGACTTTAAACAAATTATGTATATTAACTTTCACTCCTAGGTCGATCCAGCCTTAAGTAGGTACCAGGTAAAGTCCTGGAAAGTAAAGGCAGTCACTAGAGTGCTGATTGGCCTACAAAAACGAGTATAGCATCCTATACCCAGTAAAAGGGTCTTTTGCTTGTTACATTACTCGCTAGTTGACCATGTGTCAAGATATAAAAACACTGTCTTTATTTGAAATTAGCAGGTTTGAATCCCGGTATGGCAACTTTAGCTTCTTTTTTCTCCACTACCCTGAACCCCCCCCCCCCCCCTTTTTTTTTTTTAAATTTAAACAAAACTAGTTTTTCTCCTTAGGATTGTGGTCTTTGTGAGTAATTTCTCATCTCAAAGATGAGAATCAGAAAGCTACATTTACCAGAAAGCCTGTTTGGTCATTCAGCTATTTAGCAGTTTTACTGGGCCACCACAAAAGGATTATAGAACAACCTTTAGTCCATCGTGGAAAGGAGTTGGGGGTGTGCTTGCCCACTTAAGCTTCTGGTTTTTCCTTTTCCAGCTAGTTAGCATCCTGTAGATATTATCTCCTCAACAATGCAGGTGTGCTGGGAAATGACAAGGCAGTAAAACTGGCTGGTTCTGCACCACATGATGAATGAAAAGCTGGATATGGTCAAGGCCCTTTGAGAACGAGTGAACAGTGTGCAAGCACAAACAGATCATTATGTTCTGTAGAGAATCGTGTAGCAGGGAGTGGATCGGGCTGATGCGTAATACCCAGAGGAAAGTCATGTCGGACATACTTGCGAGCAGAATCTAATATCTGTCTTTCTCTCTTTTACACGCACACGCATTGGACGTTTCTTCTCTTCTTGCAAGCAGTGAAGAATAAAATATGACCCTGTAGCCTTGTGAATCTGGCATTAAAAATTCAGAAAAAACACACACATACAGACACTTGTTCTAATGACCTCATTATCAGTCAGCTGTACAGAATGCCCCTGTCTTCACAGCAAGTCAGCTGTACAGAATGCCCCTGTCTTCACAGCACACTTGAAAGTTTATTTTTGCCAATTCTCCAGCTCTGTGTGTGCTTTCACAGCCAATGCATCTTCAATGTCTCACATCTATATTCGGGAAGGTCAATCTCTGCCTCGCTTTCCAGAAACGGCAATCAATTGACCTCTGCAGAATTTAAAGGAAAATACACCTCTCTTTTCTACAAGTGCTATACTCTGAAGGTATAGATTCGAACCCCAGGCATTGTTGATTTTGTCCCACACAGCATCTTCTCATTGAACAGCTGGCATTTCGACCTCTTGTTCTCCCTTTCAATAATGGCTACATACTTGCAAGTCTCCAACTTCTTGCACTTGTCAAAGCAAGTGACAGGGGAGATCGCTGACAAACTTTGGATCTTCTGACTTGAGAATAGCACGTCTTTCTCAACCAGTTTCCAGAATTGTTGTCTCACTCCATCTGGAGAATTAAATTTAAAAAATGGGAAGATTTAAACAAAGATGATATAAATAATAGATTGCACAGCTTATTGCCTGGAATATATTTATTTTTTTTTTGAATGTTTCATTAGTTTATTCTTCTGATATTACAAATTCAGTTAAACTTTGCTGAAGCCTTTCTTGGAGCCTGCAGCCTTGGTAACTTTCAGCACATTGTACTTGACAGTCTTTGACAGAGATCTGCATTCTCCTACTGTGACCACATCCCCAATCTCAACATGTCTGAAGCAAGGTGAGAGATGAAAACTGAGATTCGTGTGCCTTTTCTCAAATCTGCAGTATTTCCTCACATAATGAAGGTACTCCCGGCGAATAACAATTGTTCTCGTCATCTTCATTTTCAGCACTCTCTCAGACAGAATACGTCCACGAATGCTCACATTTCCTGTGAATGGGAATTTCTTGTCGATGTAAGTTCCATCAATAGCCTCTCTTGGAGTTTTGAACCCAAGTCCCACACTTCGCACATATCTCAGATTCTTCTTTGACTTTCCCTGTAGAATGGACTTCTTGTTCAGGAAGACAGTCGGCTGCTTTGGGGATATTTTGCTGCATCTCGACAAGCGCATTAATACTGTACAGTGAAAGCTCAACACAGTCAAACCTCTTTAAAACAAATTCCAAGGGACCGAAAATGAGGTTTAAAAGAGTGTAATAACTGGGGGCTAATAATAACAATAATGTGTTAATAGTGGGACTGGGAATAAATACACGGAACACAAAGATCTGGACAAACAATTCAAATCAACAACCATTGACCATAAATAACTAAACACTTGAAAATATAGAACAGTTCACATATCTTGGCAGTGTGGTGTCCCTACTGGGAGGGACAGAGGAAGACATACAATCACGCGTCAACAAAGCTAGGGCCGCTTTTGGAATGATGAGGCAAATCTGGAAATCTAACAATTTATGTAGAGGAACGAGACTCCGACTCCAAGAGCATCGTTTTGCCAGTTCTTCTTTAGGGAGCAGAATACTGGAGAACGACCAAAACAGGATACGCACAAGTTATCCACCTTCCACAACACACGTCTACGAAGGATTATTAAAATGTTCTGGACAGATACAATCTCAAACACTAAACAACTTCAAGTCACAAACCAAAGAAACTCTAGACAGTATAAGTCAAAAGAAGATGGAAATGGCTTGGTCACGTCATGAGAATGAATCCGGATAAACTTTCCAAAACGGCTCTAACTTGGACACCAGAGGGAAAGAGAAAAAAAGGGGGCGCCCAAAAACAAAATGGAGACGAACGATGGAAAGTGAACTAAGTGCTGCATCTCTGACACGAAAAACTGCACCGAAGATTGCACAGGACAGGAAGGCATGGAAGGTCCTTTCCGAAGTCTCATGTGCCACTAGGCATAAAGAAAACGCTGTGGCCAAAATTTAAGTTTGTGTTAATTCGGTTTTACTTTAAATGGATCCCTTCAACTGAGATGCAAAATCAACCAGAATATAAGACTAAGCACTTCACAATTGGCATAACCTTCATCTTTATGCCGGTTATAAAATATGTTTTCTAAAACATGTTTTTTTTTAAATATGTTTTCTAAAATATATATTTTCTCCAAGGAAGCAGAACTGGTCTTGCAGTGGATACCAGCCCACTGTGGTATTCAAGGAAATGAGAGAGCAGATGAGTTGGCAAAAGCTGAGAGTAATCTTCCACAACCTCATCCACCACACAGCTACAAGGAAACCAAAACAGCACTAAAGCAGTCTTTCAAGCGGGAGTGGAGAAAGCAGAATAGAGATTACAGACCAAAGAGTGACAGCATAAACAAACTCAACAGGAAAGAACAAACATCAATTTTTAGACTTCGGACTGGACACTGTGGTCTTCGAGCACACCTGTACAGGATAGGCATAAAAGAATCTGCTGCCTGTGATTGTGGAGCAGAACGACAGACCCCTGGGCACATACTACAGTACTGCCCTAACTTCTCCCAGCAAAGACTGTGGATCTGGCCTAGGGGATCCACATTGCGAGAGAAGCTATGGGGGACCAGTGGCGACCTTAAACGCACAATCCTATTTTTGACCCAGACGGGACTCAATGTGTAGCATGACTGACGTCGAACGCAGAAAAAGAAGAAAATATTTGTAGATTTTAATCAACACAGAACAGTCATCATCTTGGTTTGACGCTTGTTGGGCTTTTGCGGCGGGGGTAGGAGCAGCTATGGATCTGTCTGGAGTGTTGAGATGATAAGTAAATAAAGTAAAGGACTCAGTGCACGCCTTAAGGCGTATTGGGCATGTAGGGCTAGACCGTCGCTGTCGGCAGTAACGACCCTACCGACGGCCCCGGCTAGAACTATATTTTCTAGACCAATGGGCAAGTAGAAGGTGTGTGGTCAGTAGAGGGGAGAGATGTACCTTTGATATTTGATGCGAGAGAGGCAGATGGGAAAAGATTGTGTGTGTGAGTGTGTGTGCGTTTGTAAGAAAGAGTTAACTTACCAGTTCTTGCCAAATTATCGTTATGAATTTCCACATTTGATGGCTCTGACCAAAACATATGCTGAAAAAAAGTAACGAATTAAATACAATATAATTGAAATTACTGTGTTTTTGGGGTCGGTTTGTAATAAAAAATGTAGACAGGAGAAGAGAGAGAGAGAGAGAGAGAGAGAGAGAGAGAGAGAGAGAGAGAGAGAGAGAGAGAGAGAGAGAGAGAGAGAGAGAGAGAGAGAGAGAGAGAGAGAGAGAGAGAGAGAGAGAGAGAGAAAGAGCATAATTCCTTTTTGCAACAGTGGAAGGTAAGATGAAGCAGCAAGGTGGAACGTGTTTCTCTGCCTGGTCTTATTGTTCAACACAGTTTCATCTGATACGTTTTCACGTTACTTCCCGTGACCGTAACCTCTCGCCACGCATGTTTCAATGTGCACCTCTTGTCCATTATTAGTTGACTCGGCGTAGGCGTCCACTAACAGACTGTCTCGCGTGACAAATTTTACAGTTAAACACGTCGATCCTGATAAAGCCAGCAGAATACACAAAGCTTTAATGCATAAGGCAGTCGTTAGAAGTGCCAACACCAACAGTCCAGCAGTAGAATATCATTCCAGCGTTGATAGAAACAGCAGTCCATACAAACCAGCAGTTGCACACACATTAATTATTCATAAATAATCACCATGAGCCACTCCCTGTAATACTACAAGTATTTAACATTTTAGGAGACAAATGTATTGTCTTAGACACATATAGATAAGTAGTTTCAAGGAAGATAACAGCGAAATTGTGGAAAGGGGGAGGAGGGGTAGGTCGATAGTTGTACTCCACCAGGACATTGCACAAGCGATAAACAACCGGTGACACAAACTGCCACAATGCGGATGAGAATCAGCCGTGGAGACGTCCCAGAAACCCCTTTCAGCCGTTGGGCCATTTCTATGGCTAGGCCATATTTAGGGCCCCCAGAAGAAGCCAGGGTGGGGCTTCAAATAACAAAAAATTGTATCCCTCATGGGGACGACTGTAATATGAGGGGGGAGGGGGGACTGAAAGAGAGAGAGAGAGAGAGAGAGAGAGAGAGAGAGAGAGAGAGAGAGAGAGAGAGAGAGAGAGAGAGAGAGAGAGAGAGAGAGAGAGAGAGAGAGAGAGACTATTCAAAAGGGATATAACTCCAGCGAAAGTTTACTTTTACTGATTGCCATAATAAATAAAATGTGACTGTTAAACTAAACACTTTAGGTATGATGGCAATTGAAACTGCTAAACCCGTTTATTGGTCATGGTTTAGGAGGAATTAAATTAAATCATTTGAAGCCCCACCCTGATTGTTGCCGGGGGCCCTAATATAATGTAACGGTTGAACGGGGTTTTCGGGACCTCTCGATGACTGATCCTCCACTTTTGTGTTACCGGGTGTTTATCGCTTGGTGAGTGTCATGGTGGGGTGAAATTTACTTTAATTATCTGTCCCATAAAGCTCGCCTCCATTCCGTTCGATCATTGCGATGAATTCAATGCTATGAAATCCAGTCCAGCAGCTTTGGCCTCTGTCACCAACGTTCATCTTAGGGTTTCTATTGGGCGAACTCGCCTCCTTTGTCCCTTTATTTCCAGTTTTAATGCCTACTTGTTGATTCTCTGCTGGTTTTTTTCTCATGATGTGTCCAGTCTAGAGCCATCTTCTCTGTCTTTTAACTGTTGATACTAGCGGCTGCTCAGTAATTTCTTTGATTTCCCCCAACTTTTGGACTCATCCCATTTAATTTTCATCATTCTCTCTCTCTCTCTCTCTCTCTCTCTCTCTCTCCTCTCTCTCTCTCTCTCTCTCTCCCCACACATACACACACACACACACACACACACACACACACATATATATATATATATATATATATATATATATATATATATATATATATATATATATATATATATATGCTAAGTAAGAAGCTGGTAGAAATGTCATACTGTGATATCTATGTTATTATGTCTTGACAACCGTTTTGTTGTAGTGCCAGTAACATAAATATAGGGCTATATGCGGTGGGGAAGGGGGTATAGCATATGGCCGTATACTGGGGGGGGGGGAGTGGCTGTGGGGGGGAGTGGCTGAAGGATGTGGCCATATACTCTGGGGGGAGGGGGGCACCTGAAAAGGTTAGAGACCAGCGGTCTAAAACTATCGACAAACAGTATACTATAGTGCGTTTACAAATTAGTGACGATGTTCAAAAAATTAAATCTCAGCTGTAATTGAATATTAATGGATACAATTATATATGAATATTTACTTCATTTTCAATGTTCTGTCATATTTTCCCGCGTATAACAATGCATTTTTGCCTATTCAAGGTACATAAATGTAGGATGATTCTTGTTGGATTGCCTTTTAAGAGCTATACAGAACAAAACTTATATGTAATCAGTTGACCTATTACAAAAATACACGTTTCTTCGTCGTAAATCCTACAACTGTTGCGTCAGAGTATCTCAGCTCGCTGTAAAATCATACAACTGTTGCGTCAGAGTATCTCAGCTCGCTGTAAAATCCTACAACTGTTGCGTCAGAGTCTCTCAGCTCGCTGTAAAATTATTATGCTGGGTGGTTTGCAAGTTCGCGAAAAGTGTTTCTTTCGTAATAAGTTACTCCAGAAGGGGACGGGGACAGTCCAATATGTTATAGGGTGGTAAGACTGGATTTCCCGGCATTGTGGTGCTTTTAACTACCTCAAAACACATAGAGCTGGGCCTAACCCGAATCCACCTGCGTCCTACGAGAGAGTGCAGCCTAGGTCCCACTATTGCATGCATCCTATCTACCACCCCATGGACTGTCTGTTTGGGGTAAATAAGAACCGAAAGCACCTCAAAAGTTGCAAAGACGTAACTTACAAAGTTAGAGTTAAGGCAATTCACGTCAGTACTGTAACATTTGTTCTGCTACGTACGTAACATTATACAAATTATGAAAATAACGAAGAAAACCTCTGTGTCGATACAACTGGGCAGTCTAAATATTATTTATGTACAAAACATTAACATCAAGATGAAAATTGGATTCTATGCACACACAAAAACAACTAACACAAAAAAACTAACTTTTCCTTAATAACCGTGGAGAGGTCCCAGAAACCGCGTTCAGCCATTAGGCCATATTTATGGCCTGGCTATAGTGCGGCCCCTGGCAAGAGACAGGGTGGGGCTTCAAATAACGAAACATTTCATCCTATTTCTAGAATAAGTAATTACTGAGAAATTATCGAAAAAACAACGGCACGAATAAAAAAAAAAACGCTCTATACCTCAACAACCTTGTTTCCTTCCATTGCCAGGGGTGCCGCATATGCAGTGACGTCCCCTTGACCAAATACGTAGCCGCCGAAGCTGACCTGGTAGCCAGGTTGGGCTTGGATCTGATGAAAGCCGGGTTCGGCTACAGGGATCTCTGCAAAGGCAAACCCAGTTGTACCCATGCTGAGCCACTGGAACTTTTCCGAGAGAAGTGTTCCGTTGACTGAAACATATTTGAAAACGTATGTATGTTGTTTAACCCCGCCAGGACTGTACTGCGGGCGACCAACACCCGGGGACACAAAGTACCACCATTCGGATGAGGATCACCTAGGCAAAAATCGCATAAGCTCCGTTCAACCGCTAGGCTATGTTTAGGCCCCCGGCTAAAGTCAGGGTGGGGATTTAAAGTAACGAAATATTGCGCTCCAAATTGTGGCGATGTGTATGACAACAATTCGAAAACAGCTTTGTCTTGGAGTTAAATGTTTTCTTCTAGTCAGGACGCAAATTTTCGTTATTTGAAGCCCCACTCTGGCTCTTGCCAGAGGCCGCAATATAGCCTGGCCATAAATATGGCCTAAAGGCTGAACATGGCTCCTGGGACCTCTCCAAGGTGATCCTCACCCACATGGTGGCACTTTGTGTCATCGGGTGTTTATCGCTTGTGTGATGTCCTGGTGGGGTAGAAAATCAATCATTAAACAATCTTTAGGAATATTTTTGTGGTGCTAATTGACCAGGAATTTAGGAGGTAAATATGATCAAAGAGGATGGTCAGGTGATTCATTTCAATTATCCAAAAGTCCAAGCCTCACTGGCTGCTAGCACATTTGCAATTACCGGCCATGCTGAAAACAAACAAATCGTGACCTGGCATCCTAAACCAGCTGGACACTGTAAGCTTGAATAGTTTGAAGAAACTAGCATCAACTGTTGCTTTAGTAGCAGATTTAAACAAACAGTCAATGGCAGAAGTCGATGATGATAACGATGTGCCAGAGCTTGTTCAGAAAATGTTGATGAGGCATCTAAACATGAGGATGTCTAGATGAGGCCAGAGAATTGCACGCATTAATTTTAGCACATACATATGGCATGCAGTAAAAACTATTTACTGTTACCAAAATTTAAAAAATAAAAATAAAAATTGATTATTATTATTGCTTTGCAAATAATAAGCAAAAACGACTTCAACCTGGACTAGTAAACATAATCTTGTCTCGGAAACTGCAATTGTTTGGCCATATCAAATGTCACGAGGAATTGGAAAACAGACAGAGCAGAAGGCTCGGTGACAGGAAAGATGTTCAAGGCCTTCGAGATACGCCTAGCCAGATCAAAGGGAGACAGAACAAACAGGAAACACCACGAATGAAGAAGGAAGACTTGCACCAGTGACAACAGGACGAGCGGTTTGATACGGAGGGAAGCATTAAGCCAGAAATGGCACAAACACCAGTATTCAGTCACGAAAGTGACGCAAATAACCCAGACCACAAATATAGGCGGAGACTGTTAGCAGCCTAGGCTAGCTAGCAGCAGTCTGAACGTGGTCGAGCTTTTCTTTTTTTTCTTAAAAGGACTTGGACTTGGACTTGGACTTGGGCTGACCAGCGCGAAGATGGGTACAGGTTATCAGTGACATCCTTAGTAGAAAAGTTCACAAGGCGGGAAAACTGGCGAGAAACCAAGTTTCTACCAGACGGGTGGCGATGAGAGCGACGTTCTGCAAAGGATATGCTACACGATGATGATACAAATTGTTATTCTTGTGGCGCACTCGTTAACATGTCCACGCTATGAACAGGGATTGCACAGATTGAAAGACTTTTTTTCAACGCAAAATGGGGAGGGGAAGGGTAGTTCTGAAAAATATTCAGCACTGAATGAACAACATAGGTACTATTAGCATGTCGATTCTTCGTTGGCTACTGAAGAAGGGGACAGGCCACGTGTGGGAATTTCACGTATGTAGTGATGTAAATTTGTGATTTAATCACTGATTCACTATAAACTCGTGCCCTTTGAGTCAGACGTTATCAAAGCCTTTTGGCAGCGAGTGAACAGTGCAGAGACACACACACACACACAAAAAAAACACACAACGGCCAGTGGGTGTGACCAGCTCTGCCGGCACTTAACACTCACGAGCGGTGGGTGTGACCAGCTCTGCTGACACTTAACACTCACGAGCGGTGGGTGTGACCAGCTCTGCTGACACTTAACACTCACGAGCGGTGGGTGTGACCAGCTCTGCTGACACTTAACACTCACGAGCGATGGGTGTGACCAGCTCTGCTGACACACGACACTCACGAGCGGTGGGTGTGATCAGCAGTGCCAGAATTGGAACTCAGCTTTGGCTGCTAAAGATGGGGACAAAGCGCTCATAGGAATTTTCTGAATGCTACTAATATCGATTCTAACTCAGCTCAGTTCAACTCAGCTTAAAGTCTTTTAAGAGTTCACAAATCCACCAGACTTGCCTGTGATGTGAGCGAAATCACAGACTCTGGCCATGACGACAATCTTGTGGAGCTGAGTCAGCGTTGATGTTGTATTGATGGCCACCGTCGGCACATGCGCAGTGCTGCTGTAGTGTTCAAGTGCTGTAACTAGAAGCATAAATGGAGCCGACAATGAGTACTGTACCACCTGAGGAATAAAACAGTAACTGCTGGGGAAATGCGAGCGGTTATTACCAGTACATAGCCACACACACACACACACACACACACACACACACACACACACACACACACACACACACAATAATAATAAAAAAGATGAATAAAGAACCCTGTTTATGCGAGTGATTCGTAGGGCAGGTTATGCTGAGTTGAGTCAAGAGTTGACATCGCGGCACTGGGAGGTATTCCTATATGCGCTCAGCAACCACATTCAGCAGCCAACGCAGAGTTTCAATACTAACTGTACTGGTCGTGATCGGGTTATATGTCCGTCTCGTCTTTCCTCTGAGTGTAGTGAACCGACCAGACCCTCTGGTCTCACCCAGGTGCATCATTCTCTCCAGGCCATAATAATCTAGTTTCTCTTCTGACTTCGTTACTTTTTCGCAAAGGGCCTTGACCACATCTGCCTTATCAGTTTACAACTCGGTGGTACAGATCAATCCAGTCTGTCTGCCTATTCATTTAACACCACGCCGGCATTGCCTGGAGTAAAGATCCAAAGCATGCTCACTACCCGTGACCTTTCCAGAGAAGCTTGCCACTCTGCTCGAAGCAACCCTGTCTTCACCTTTCTCAGCATGGTTTCACAGTCTTTTACAATTACGACATGTGTAGACATCTCCTTTTCTAGACACGCAGGGCATATGGTACAAGATTCGTATTTTTATAGCCCCTTGTCGTTGACATCTCATCCGCCGCTTTCTTCCTTCCACAGGACATGACCTGGTAGCTACTCAAGGTTGGATCGACCTCAAAGCCAATGTCAGTTTTGAACTAGGGAAAAAACCAAAAACAATCCACCTCAATTACTTCTCCTTCTTCGTGTTCACTGGCTGTAAACTCCGTCAAAATGTTACGGTTGTTCATCCACTTATGGACACTAATAGCAATAATTACAATGTTCATTTTCTTTGTACCGTCGTCATTGCCGAAAGTAATAAGCTGCGTTGAATCAAGAACCGACATCACATATCTCAGGATATTCTCACAAACGTTCTATCAACTTCTTCAGCAGCCAACACAGTTCTAATACAGAGTTCCTTGCACTTGCTTTTGGCTGGGTCGATTTCAAAGATCATATCAGTTTATAAAATTATCCTCTCAAAGATAGAACCTAAAATAAAGGCAGAAAGTTTCTTTGCCTGATTTATATTTTAAAAACCTCCTATGGGTCAAGTGGTAAGCAGCTCTCCTGTCGCCTTTACTTCCCAGAAATGTCATGGTGACTATTTTAGACTAGGTCGACCTAGGACGTTTATAACAGGTCATAATGCAGTCAATAAATTTGTTACTCGTACCTGTAAATTTTTGCTTCCTTGGAGCATCATATACCGGCCACCTTGGAGCAGAATGTCTTTATACTGGCCAGGTTTCTCCAGGGCAAACGTTTTCAGATCTGACTGGTAGACAGTCACATTGTAATCGCTGGCCATGACTCGGAGTATCGTCCCTGTAGATGGAGGTTTTCATACAGAGCAGGTGTCATCAACAATAGACAGCAGAGCTTTCCAAACTATGTATCGCGAAGCATTAGTGGCGACTGCAGTGTGAAGTTGTGTTGCGCGAATGTATATCAGATATGTAATTATATAATAATTATAAATATATATATATATATATATATATATATATATATATATATATATATATATATATATATATATAGACAGACAGACAGACAGATTAGATAGATAGACAGACAGATAGACAGATTAGACAGACAGACAGATTAGATCTCTCCACACTGTCATCATCTATTCGCACTTCCACATTGTTTGCACTGCTTGCCCTGTGTGACGACACATATAATGGCACAACAGTGTGACGATGACGAATGAATGAAACCCTTTCCCACAATTGAAAAAAAAATAAAAATAGCAATCTCCCTGCTCACTAATGTTTCACATAAATAAACAGTGTGAAAACCCATGAGGTCTATAGATAATAAACACACAGACAATGTATTGATCGGCACTCATAGAAAGAAATAGAAGGATATACATATAAAATCATTAATGTTTTCCTCGCCCATTGTCCTTACCCATAACATTGTCCGGGGATGTGATGGCAACATAGGTCCTTCCCCAGGAAGCCACGGGCACTAGCTGCTCGACCAGCAGATCACCACCTTCGTTGATGTTGAGGGGGTTGCTGAGGGAGATGGTGCTGAAGACCGCTACGGGCTTGGTGGCTGTGATCCGACTTCCGGACAGGTCGCAGCGGAGGCAGTTTGGGTCTTGTCTGATTTCTGAGATCTCAAAACTTTGGAGTCTTCCCTTGGTTTGGGAAATAACAGATAAATAAACTTGTTGTGTTATTATGTTGTGTCGTATTATGCAAGTGGTCTTCCACCCCCCCCCCCCCCAACCCCTCTAAGCGTAAGCATGCCTTAACTAAATCAGGTGATGAGATAGTCTTAGTATGTCTATTGTATTCTAACCTCGTGGCGATTGACTCAAGAAATCTTAATATGAAATTAAGATTGGTTATTATAAAAACACAATGTCAATTCATATATGACAATAAATTCAAGTAAAAAATGATGACGAAAACTTCAGTATGATTTGCTGTAACACATGTTTAACACTTCTAACTGGTTATTGACTGCTATTAAATGTTTATAAAGCTCCCCCAGGTTTCTCATTATATCATTCCTTCTCAAAGAATGGGCCATGTGTAACATCCCTGTCACCTGTCATCATTCCTCTGATGCGGTTGCTGTCATAAATAGGCGGTCTATATGCACCGTTTTCAGAAGGATAATCCTTTTTTGTATGTGTGCACTGGCCACCCCGTCAGTGCCCCCCCCCCCCTTTCCAAAAAAAAAAAAACAGAATTGTCCCGTTTAAAAAGAAAAATAGGAATAGGCTTGAAAGTAAAACGAATATTCATAGCATTGTCTGTGGGTCTTATCAGTTTTTATAGCCTTTAGATACTTCTAATGCCTGAATGAGAATTTTCATTGCATGTTTTTTAACAGTTAAATATTATATTATTTCGTTTATTTCTAGGTGGCAATGATTGGGCTTCTAATTGTCGAGTGAGCAATTAACTTTTTAAAATCAGAGATCTGGTGAAAAAAGGATTGATCTAAAAATACCACCACCATTAGCATGGGCGGTGGCGATCGTTTTCCTCTTCTTTGGGTCTAATACGGCGGTGGACAATTAATAAAGAAGGGAGCAAATTACTAAGAATATAAAGTGAGCCGCTTCCTTAAATAATGTGGATTTCTCAAGTATTTACTATCGGCGCTACAATGCTCAGAAGAAAGACAAGACCACATATAACCAGATTACATCTAGCACTGTAAGTACTGTGACTGCACTGCCTGACGAAGATGAGAAATCAGGCA